GTTCATATGGTCTTATTCGATAGTCTCCTTTCACCGGCTTCACCCAGTTAAAGTTTCCCTTTGTGTTGCAGCTGCATTTCCTTTTCTTGTGAGAACATCTATCCCTGCTTTCTTCACAACCATTGGGTAAAAAACGGATTTTAGAAAAGCATCCCGCAGTGATTTGACCTTCTAAAACTAAAGCCAATTAGAATGCGGGACATTGTCTCAATATGTGGGACAAGGGATAAAAATGCTGTGCAAAGGGAGCTTTGGCACTGGTTATAAATCACAAGTTGCAGATTTGTTGGTCGTAACTCCAAGAGATACTGGGCTGGTGCAGGTCAACTGACTTTTCATACCCCAAGACCTCAAAAGGGGCAAGACCTAAAGAAGAGCGTACTTATACGATATGTTGCTGAACTGGCCCTTATTCAGTTTACTGTAAACCACACCAGTTCTTGTCATACATCAGCTTTTATAGTCACTGTTGTGTATTTACCCCGTATAACAGCAGATTTTGTTGTACAACTGCAAAAGCCTTGACAATTTTCAAACTCTGACTGTACTCTGAGAGTCAGGGAGCACAGTGCCAGGCCACAGACCTCATTATCCACAACTGACTGGCCTGAATAGATGAGATGGGAGGTGGGTAAAGGCAGAGACAGACAGGAGAAGGGGGAAAAGAAAAGGTAAGAGTGGAGGATCTGTCAGAGCAGACATGGGAAATGGAATCACCTGTGACTCAAAATGATTTTAATGAAGAAAAAAATAGGGCAAATTACAGAAAAGATCAAGTGAAGAATAAGAGGAAGAGAAGCCCTTATTCTTTGCCCTTACACCCTGAGTACATTCTCTGTCATAATAGAATTCATTATATAACTTTCTTCTTTGTCATAATTGCTCATTTAGATATTGACCTGCAGTCATTTGAAAACTTTAAAATGTAGACTATAGGTTACACAACTTCTAGTCTTGTTTCTAAATTACATTTTTAATATTGGTTTTCAAACCACAGCTTTTAAGGACAAAGAATGACATCTCATGCTCGCCATCTTCGACTTTTTGTTGAATTGTTGTAAAAGCACATCGTTGGCCCGGGGACACCAGCATCCTTCCAGGAGGGGTGCACGGCGGTGGTGGAGGTGTGGGGGTGTTGGATTTTGTTGCCTGCAGCTCCCCAGTCCCACTTTGCCAGACGGGGCAAGGAGAGCCCATATGGCAGTCAAGCGTGGCTCCGGCCAGCTCGGGCTCATATGTATGGAAAACAAGGTCTGGAGAGAGAAGTCACAGGGGGTCATGCTAGTCAGAGCGGCAGCCCGGGGTCCTGGTGCAGGTTAGAAGGTCTTGGTTCAGGAGAAGAGGCTAATTTCTTCTACTTGGCTGAGCAAAGGCCTGAATAATTGCGCCCCCTGGGTTGGCCTCTGGGTAATGTGGAGGTAGAGCAGAGCGTTCCAACGTGGAGAGCAAACAGAGGGAGGTTCAGGGAAGGCTCTGGGATCATAGAAAAGCTTGTGTCCAGCTTTTAATGGATGCTCATTATATTTGTTTTTTTATGTTGTGAAAGAAGAAGCGTCCTTATACCACATTACTTGTGATTCAGCGCCATTATATGCATACATTAACCTTATGCTCTTTATACTCGCATGCAAACATCAACAGCATTACAAAGCAGAAAGTAGCATCGCTTAGAGCCCAGAAGATGCAACCTAGATATGTTTTCCAAATAACTCTTCAGATGCCAGTGATCTGGTGTTCTTTCTCGAATTATTGAAGTTGACAGATTTAAATTCATGTTTATTATAGAAAGAAATGGAGTTGTATATGTGGTGCCATAAAGCTATAATAACTTTTTTGGCCACTTGGGGGCAGTGCAACAAGCAACAATCAGGTAAAAAATGAATTGTTAGCAAACAGTTCCAATGTATACATCCACCAGATACAGAGCAACATGTGAAGTCCAATATTTACTCCTCTTAGCTCCACCATCTCCTAGTTTTTGGCTCTTTAAATGTTCTATGTTCATTATAGTCGCTAACTTTTTCTGGGGCTTGGTGCTGTGCAGGTAGCCCATTTTCATCATAGCATCATCAGAACATAATGTTCTTGATGAACTTTTAAGATGTGGATTGTGCACTGGTATCATCTTGCAAAGGTACTCTGAAGGCTGCTTAAACAAATAACTTTATTAAAAGAATATTTAAGTTCAAAATTCTTGAAACATGTTAAATAGTTTTACATATACATTGTCAACCACTTCTAGTTGGCATTGCTGAGAGCTGCTTCTCCTCTCTTACTCTGTGCTAATTGCCACAGTATTGTTAATCACAGTAAACTCTGCTGGATAAACTTTGTAGTCACACCAGTATATTACTACAAGCATTTATTCTGCACTATATAGGGGGAATGTGATAACATACACTGATACAATACAGATATGTCTGTGATAGAGCAATATTGGCAGATCATATCGACTAACCAGTCGGGCTCTGATTCTTTAGGTGAACATTACTCCAGCATAGTTGAACAAAAATAGGTTTGTGTGTTAGGTGTGTGTTATGGTTCTGATGAGAACAAATAGATACAGGATGCAGATCCATACTCTATAAATGCTGAATAGCAAAATACAACCAACCAAACTCACAAGTAAGGAATTAAATTAACCTGAATGCTAAAATGTCTTTGAAAGCATAAAGAGATGAGTTCAGGTGTCTTAAGTTACTTCTTCAGATGTCTTTGTTGCCCCTATAGTAATTGCTGTGGACAGTTCTATCTACTGAGGACAAAGACCCAGTGTGATGATGTGATGTAAAGGACTACTAGTAATGGTGGAGAGTGCGCCTGTAAGTGTGTGTGAGTCCAAGCCTGACAGCTACAACAGCACCACATCCACTCCCGGACCCAAGTAATGAATCTGCCACGATCCTGCTTTCAGAGATTGAAACCAAGTGATATGACTGGATCTCCTCGTATTCATTAGAAAATAAAGATCGCCCTTTAAACCCCTGACTGCACTGGCTGTTGGCGGCGGCGGCGGCCTGACGACGGAGAGGAGGTGACAGATGTTTAAACACGGTGAGGGCCGGGGGAAGTGAATGTGACATGCTCAGGTGTAATTATACTCACCTAGTTCACAGCGGAGATTAAGAAGAGAAGGGATAGAGAGGCACAGGAGCGTCAGACATGAAAGAATATTGAAAGACTTGCTGATGAGCAGTGTCAACTGTCTTTCTCCCTGTCCCCACGCCCCACCTCCCCTCCCTTTCTCTCCCTTTTGTCACTATCATTGCAAGGTCTCACTTCTGTTTGCCTTTTCCAATTATCAAGGTGTGACTGTGGGCCTCCACAATCCCCTCCTCCTTCTAATATAATGTTAACTATACTAAACTTAATGAAATAAAAAAAATATATATCATTTTCTTTTGTTTGTCAGGAAAATTACAGGAGTTGAATTAATTATCACTTACAAATTTCTCTCCTGGCTCCATCCTCTGCAGGCCCTAATCTGATGCAAACGCTGCAACTTTGCATTTTGCTGTAATGTTGTCGGACATCATTGTAAAGATTTGGGATGAAGTGATTTAATGAGGTTGTAAAACACTCTAAAATGTTATCCTGAGACAACACTGTCCTCTAGTGGCTGTTGTATGTTTTACACACACACACAAAAACACGCACACACACACACACACACAGCGAGATGTCCCTGAAGTGGCCCTCCTGTCAGAAAATGGATTATGACAGTCTAATTTATTATTATCTCCATCCCTCTGACCCAATATTTCAAAGCTTTAACCTGATGTCCTAATGACAGGCAGGCACGATCACACTCAATCTACTCAATCCTTCAAACATACACACCAGCAGCTATAGGCAGGCCTCTCCTCTCCACTTTTGTCAAAATTGATTTATCAATTATAATAAAAGCAGATCGGGAGTATTGGAGTATTAATCACAATGGGATCTGTTAAAATCACCTGCTTCTTCAATTAAATATTCCAGTTATCCTCGCTGGTGGAAGTAATCGGAAAAGATCCACATCTGTGATTTTGGTTATTATCACTGTACAGTTTGAGTGACCACCTGTCAATCACACTGCGTGACCACTGAGTCTCCGATTGTCTATTAAAATTTGAGTTGTGTGGGTGAACTTCCGCTGTTGATTGCCAGATCTTTGTATTTACGCATTAAATCCTTTAAAAACTGGTTGCAGATGGAAAAAAAACATTTATAGTGAAAATATCCATCTCTGAACTCTGCACATGCATCATTCTGCACAGCAAAGCTCAAACTTCCAACTGTAGGAACACGTCCTCTATTCTCTATCATGTTTGATTAAGTAGAAGTGCTTAAGTGTTAGCAGCAAGATATACGTCACATAGGGCTCCTGCCAAACGTGTTAATTATTTGACTGAATTTGTGTTACTTTTGTATTACTGTTTAAGCAGCATTGGAGCTGATTGAGATGGAGCTAATTTGACCAACTTTATATGCACTGACAGATAGTTTAAGCTCTTGCAATGTCTCATTTAAAGCTGTAAAAATATATAATACTTAATTCATATATTAGGGTAAAATGTACAATGTTTTACACCGATTTTGCCTGATTAAACCTCAGGTTAGGAGTTACTTAATATTTTATTGGTAAATTAAGTTATGTCAGATCAAAGTTTCAACCTGAGTAAAAGTTTTTTTCTGCTCAATGAGACTCCACTATCCTCAATACAACTTTTCCTACATCTGACTTGTCTTCCTGTCTTCTTGCAAGAGACGCTGGCTGAAGTTAAATTCTTAGTCTTTCTGGATGTTGACCAAGTGGCAATCATGCTGCCTGAAGATGCAGCTCCTCTGACGTCTCCAATAAAACAACTGGAAAACCTTCTCACCACAACAATTAACAGCCCCAAGAGGCAAAACAATACTGACGTAGGGATGGGAATCTGAGAGCTGATAGTTCACTTCAAACTAATGCGTCTATGCTGCTGGAAACTCGTAACAAGAAGGAGACATGGAGAGGAAGAAACAGTCCAAAGCACGCTTTTATTTCATGAAGAAAGCTGACCACAGTGCTAGATGTAAAGTCAATGTAAAGTCAGGGTGGAAGGACCTACAAATGCTGAAAAATATAACACAACACAGGCCTAAATTCCAGGAATGCCATGTATTTGAGACTACGTTCGAGTGCCACTGCTTTCCATATCCTATGTTGTAATAACATCCGCAGATTTTCTCTTTGACCAAGAAAACCTAAATGAAAATGAATGTTGTACAAATATTCTGTCATTCTATCCATTTTAGATGATGACAGACAGGCTGCTGCTACAGTTAGCTCTCAGGATAGTTTCTACTCTGTGTACAGACTCATAATAAAAAACAGTTGTATTTTATTGTCTCCTATGCCTGGAATACGATCACAGTTTTCAACACAAAAACAACTTGAGTAAACTGGCTTCTTATATTTAAGCTGGAATCACACATCAGACGCTGGAAGCTCGTGAATTTTCTCCCTTATATCCAGCTGTATCCGCTGAACGCTGCGGCCAACCAGGATGAAGAGCAGGCCAGCCAGCAGGCAGAAGAAGACGGCGACTGGAGCCAGGAGGAATGAAGGACCGTGCTGGATGCTGAGGTGAAAAGAGGGGCAACCAGAGACTCTCTGATGGTGGGCAAACTGCTCCAGAGTGTCCAGGACGTGGACCCACATCACATACATCACCACCACTGCCAGCAGGCACAGACCTCACACAGAGAAAAGGCAGTGAATGTTATTGCTGTAAGGTTTAAGATTCAGTTTAAAGTTCCATTTATTGCAATGAATAATTATTGTGCATCTTTAATCTAAATTATTTTCTTTTCTTTACTTTTTTCTTTTACTAGCTACTGAATGATATGAGACATTACAATATGTATATGTTGCAGCAGATCTGTTAGTGAAATGCCTTAAATAGTTCAACCAGCCAAAAAAAAGTTTGCTTTTTACATCTCATAGTTCATTTTAAATTCCTTGCTGCCTTCTATGAACAGACTGTATCATAAACGATGGGTACTCATTTACATTGATATGCTGCATTTTCTTTTCTTTAAGTAAAAGCTGTTTCTGTGGCATGTTATAAGCTCAAAATTGCAGTCCATGCACCTTTACACAACCTTTTGTCCACCAATGACAAAAAGTAAAAAGTAACTAGATCTTAGTGGCGACAATTACGGTTTGTGGTGTTTCATACCACAGGCATTTAATTTGACAGTATATTCATATTTTTTGGTAAATATTTCATTCAATATCATTTGAACCCTCTATTGTGTCCTTTAATTCAACTTTTCCACTTGTTTTGTCTGGATTTGTTGTCATTGTATTACTGCTGCACAAATGTAATATTTTCTTCGCTGTTCATTTTCCTGCTAAAAATTGAAAATCAATAATGTATGAATGATATAACCATGACAATCAAGATGCTTTTGGTTTGTGTTACAGAAAATCTTAAACGCAACCTAGCTCTTAAAAATGGTCAAAATAACTTCACATTTCAAGTTTGTTATCATCCTAGCATTAAGCTGTAAATGAAAGATTGTATCTGGAAAAAAGCCTTTTCATATTACGTCAAAATGATTGTTGAATTATTGCAACACTCACACCTGGACCTTGAATTAATCTGTCGGGGCTTATTTTGCCATCTCCCTTCATCGAGAATAATTTGAGGCACATGTTGGCTCATAGATAATCTTTTCTGTGTGGATATGAAGCAAGACGTTTGATTTATGGTCAGAGACAGCGATCACATTCTAATGGTTTGGCAGCCACGACACAGCAGATGCTGAGGATCTGCTGAGACTGAACATATTGATTATGGCTGATGGGTTAGCAATGTTTTGCGGTGGGCTTTTAAAGTTTCCAAAAGATTACTGTCAGCTTTGTTGTCTTTGTTGAACACTTTTTTTTTTTTTTTTTTGTTCCGTAGTTCAACTGGAATCTCACCTTTCCCCACTACAATTGAGTGAAGGAAAGTTGGGGGGGGGGGGGGGGGAGGTTCAGCCAAGAGCTTCAACAAGGGCACTAAAGGCAACCGCCTTTGCGCACACACTGATATATGTATAGATGATATGATGATGTCTCCTCACACACACACACATCCACCAAACATGCATTCAGTCAAACTGAGGCTTTTTATGAGCTTTGTCCAGCTGTCTGCAATGTTAGCTAACGAGCAGCCACCAGCAGTCAATCCCAATCAAAATGAGTGACTTCTTTTTACGTTAAAGAGTAAGTCCTGTTTTTATTGCTGTTTAAGCTGATTTAGATCTAATAATATATTTATTAGAGGTATTTCTTAAATAAAATGTATTGCTTCTTCTTCTTTTTTTCCCATCATATAGTTTTGAAACTTCCCTTCGGTTTCCTGGATTTTCTTCCCACTTTTCTCCCTTTTTACAAACACAATTATATAACAAAAAAGATTTAAAAAATAACAACCATTTTACCCATTATGAGGTTAAGTTATGTCTTATAACGTATACTATTACATTTACATTTAAACATAACCCAATACTTAATTCCTGAGAAAATCCCAACACCACCGTATCTTAAATTAAGTCTGAATAGCTTCCAGATTTATCAAACATTTTATTTTTTAGTTTATCTCTAAGAAAGTATGTATAAATATATATAACTGTCTTACTCCTAAAATAAGTAGGTAGGTTATACATGAAATAAAAATACCTTTTTGTTCTAAAGGAATATTTATAAATGTAGATTTTTGACACTGACCTACAGCAAACCATTGTTCAATCCAACATAAATGTATCCTAAATTCTTGTGAAGACAATCCAAATATGCACAAGACTGAAATCTGCATCCTGCAGCCATAAAATAAAAAAAGGAGGCTTGATTTAGTTCACGCAGCTGCAACAAGCTAATACAAAAAGGATACAGTAAGTGTAAAACTGGATGTTTAGAGGTTAAAGGAGCAACTTTGGAGCAAATTAACAGTTCGACTATTATGTGCAAAATGTGGTTTTATCACACTGAATAAACACATATTTTAGGTTGAGAAAGTATGATGAGAATCTGTAGCCTTTAAAACTTTTGGCTAGAGTCTGCTGCAGAGACCCCTAAGGCGAGTGTGTCACAGTTGGACTCTTCATCTCCATTATTACTACATACTGTGTTTATGAGAAATTCATGAACACAGCACTTGAACTGACAGTGTCTCTGCCTGCTCATAAACCCTGAGATCTGATTGGCATCAATAAGCATCTCATAAAGAGCCAATGGGGCACGTATAGTTGAAGTTTATATTTTTTTTACTGACTGAAAATTCCTCTTCCCCATTGAATAATGATACTAAATGGCTTTAACACATTTCATACTTTCAGTTTGCATCCACTGTTGCATTTTAAAGTAATATACTAGGTGCTTCCTACTCTAAAACTATTGGTTTGCTTTTTGAAATAGAAGTGAATGAATACGCTCAATAGCTGATCTTTCCTGTACACAAAACTTAATAGAGGGGGTGATTGATGGGGTCTGCTCTGAGATAAACACCTGAGTGTGCTCATTAAGCTCAGATGTAATCAATCACACCTAATGAGTGGAACAGCAGACTGTTAAGTCAAATTAATATCAGTCCAAGAGAAAAAACTACAAAATGTGTTTGCTTCGATCTTTCCATTCGTATTTTGATGTTTTGCTGGGATCTGGATTTCATTTTAAAAAATGTAGCACTAGAATATGTGAGTTTGTTTTTAGCTGATTGGTCCTTACCTCCACACAGCTGAAGGGCCCCACCCACTTTATATAGTTTGTGATTGGCCAGTGGGCTAGCACAAATCACAACAAATCCACCAATGACGACGGATGTCAAGCCTGTGATGAGGAAGATGCTCCAGAAGGTCCTAAAAACTGAGAGAAAATGAGGCCTCGTGTGAGATCCTAATGCCACGTTGTGTTCAAATAAATTGTTCATATAAGTAAACAATACCAACCAATGGCAGAGTGGTGTTCATACGGTTCTGTGTGGAAACCGCTGGGCTCCACCCATGATCGCATTGGCTCATTAACAGGAAACGGGAAGAGGAAGGCGGGCTGGCAGACTTTGGATGGCGGCTCATTTGCTGAAGGGAAGGAGGCAGTAATGATGCTGCTGGAAGCGTAATTACGTCGCATAAGTCTGCAAAGTGAAGGTTCTTACAGATCCAAAGGTCCCATATTGAGTATTCATTTGAAGCGTCCATGACAGAGCACCGCCAAAACAGACCCTCATGGAAGATCCTCACATCTTCTAGAGCCTGATGAACCGGGAAAACCACATTTCTGACAGGATCTGTACATTTCTATGAATATGTGGGTGGTACAGTCTGGAGGTACTAAAGAGTATACAATGTAATGACAACATTGAACTTCTGTTTTGGTAGTAGCATTTGAATAAAAACCAGACTCAACAGCTGTGTGATCATCCACAGCGGCAGACTGCACAGAGAATGTGTGGCCATCAGCTTTCTGTAAATAGAGTTTGACTGACGGTGTAAAGTGAAGACAGTGAAAGCAGCCAGCAGGAAATACCTTACTGACCATGTGTGCATTCATGAAATAAGACTGGGATAGGAAGTGTGACGTGCAAACAAATATGAAATGATGAAATATGACTTTTCATTATACCGGCCCTTATACTGTATTACTTATCTATTAGCGTATTGAATTTCACCATATTTTACTTACATTTTATTTTCCTGATAGGTTTTATTTGTTATTTGTAGATTTCTTTGACTTCCCTCCTTGTTTGAAAGTAGCTGCACACACAAACTCTTGCCTAAGTGTTCAGTTTAAATACCTTCCCGCTGCTCTTCCCTTCTCTCGAGAAGAAGCTTCCTCCATAGCGTTTCTCTGGCCGCCGGCTGCAGGACTCTGCGGCTAACAGCCAGTACTCCGTCCCACAGGAGAGCAGCGTGAACAGAAAGCCTACTGCTCCGAAGAACAAAGCCAAGAAGAGGAGCACCTTCAGCCTCTCAGCAGGAGACATGTCTCAGTCTACCCAGACTCCTCTGTTCTTTATAGCTGCAAATCTGCACTTTCCCTTTTCTTTAGCCATTTGTCAGAACTTGTTTGTCCATTACTCTTATGTTGCAACAAATGAGTGACAAGCTTCTGGACAGTACTTCCTCGCTTCAATGAAAATAAACTCTTACATCATGTGTTGGTCAGCTTCAAGGGATACAGTTACAGGGGGTTTTCACTCATATAAAAATAGCTGTGATGTTTTGAGAATATAAGACAGAGGCAATGGTGTCCCCAAACAAAACATAATCATGACATTCTTAACTTGGAAAACAGAAATCACAACTGTAGAAATATCTCCTTGGCATTTATTTGAATGCCAGCATTGAAATCCAGGTTTGGTACAGTACAAGGCTATCCAGTATAACTGAGATCTAGGCAACAGTGATGGTCCAACAACAGTCATTCAAACTGCATGTTCATATATTAATACGACTTTTTTGTTTGTTTTCCAAGACAGGTTGTTCAAGAGATGATTAATACAAATTTAAAAAAAAAAAAAAGTAAAAAGGAAAGATGCTGCAGGAGAGAGATCAGTGAAACCTGGGGAAACATTATTTGAACAGATTAATAATATTTGAGGATTTTTCTTATTTTAATAATCTGACTTCAAATAAATATTTCCTCCAGGTACTGAGGGACATTAAAAGAAAAAGAAAACAGACACAAAAGAGATAACGAAAGAGAATCAGGAATGGTCAGTATATCTGATGATTGTTTTTTTTATATATATAATAATGTCTCGTATGTTTGCACCTTTTTGAAGACTTTATGCTCAAAGAGGTGTTTTATTTTAATGACGTTTGTGGAAAATGATTTAGCTAAGCGTGTCCTGCTTCCCGAAACAACCCTTGTTTATAACATATCGAAAGAACCCAACCCATATACACAGAGAGGTGCATTTATACAGGACTCATGTTGATTAATTACATATTACAACCCTGTGAGGATATTATAAGTACATATACGAGGCACGCAGAAATGAAAGATTTATCACCTAATATTAACCTACTTGCAGTAAACATTTTATTTGAGGATCCTTTGGGCTGAGTCACCTCTTTCCTCTAATGTGTGAGGACGTTGCCGCTCTTTTGGCAGTTTGTTTGGTCCACTGTCGCTCTTTCCGAATGAACAGGTCTGTCGGAGCATCCGTGCAAAGGCTCATGGGACTTCCACAGCATCTGAGGTCTTGCGGCGTTTCCTCCGTTTTTTTTGTCGTTTTTGTTTTTTTCTCGGGCCTCCGCTGAATGCGTTCCTTCCGACGCCTAAGACATGACGCCGAATACGGGGTTGTGGCGGCAGATGCTCGGCCCGATCTCCTCGTAGTCTTTCTTGGTGTGGCACACTTGGTAAAACTCAGGCTGCGGAAACAGAAACAGAAATGATCCTTTTACATTTCATAGATACAAACAATACGTGAGTGTCTTTAGTACACAAAAAAAAACACAAAAGTTTGGCAAAACGTCAGCTGTTTCATTCTGATCAGTTTGGTTAAAGTGAAAACTCTCTATCAAAAGGAACCTTCAGAATCACTATTTTCAATTATTTGTTGCAAGAGGGATGATTATGTGTTGTTATAGAAGCTGAAAAACTCAGTTTAAGTACTCACAGTAGATGCCAGCATTGATCCTCCAAACCAGACAGCGTACCTCTGCATGTGATGAGTGACGACTTGCACATCAATGGGCTTTGGCTACAAAAGAAGAGGATAACTTAGTCAATATTAAAACAGAAAAATAAAACCACTTCCTGTTAAACTATTAGAAGATAAAAAGGGAAAACTTTTGTCGTATTTAAGGCGTTCTTTAATTTGTGAAGAGACTGAATGTGCAGATTTTCATTTTACAAACTCTATTGACTAAAATCTTTCACTCAAATATTACAATTCTTCATCCTCTTTCATATTTCCTCACCTTCAACTTGCCGCCGCTCAGCTCTTCGCTCATTTTCAGCCGTGCGTCCACGGTCCTCTTGAGGTCCCTCTGCAGGCGTCTGCCAAAGTCCCTGAACATGGTGGAGCCTCCGGAGAGCACGATGTTCTGTGGCACAAGGAGGCAGACGCTGACGAAAACAGACCAACACTTAAAAGTTACTGTAGCAGCTCTAGCGGCGTGTGTTTCTGTACCTTGTACAGCGGACGTCTGACATCAATGGGGCAGTTCTGGATGACTTCGTCCACCACCTCTGAGATCGGCTGGGTAAAGTCTGGGTTGGCAAACTGGACGAGAACAAGAAGAGAATAGGTACAATGCACTAACTTTCCCCATTTGCTATCATGACAAATACATCTTCCATTTACAAAAATCCAAAACCTTTTACTCCACATCATCCATTAGCAGCAGCAGTGTGAACACAATACATCTGTTTGTTGTACCTCAGGATGGAAGAAGATCTCAGGCCCCAGGAAGCGCTCGTAGCCGACATCGATGGTGAACTCCTTCTTGGAGATGGCGTTGATGCCCGTGTACTGTTTGATCCACTTGGAGCCGTCTGTGTCGTACTTGTTAAACTCCTTAACAAGGTCAGGGCAGACGTAGCTAAACCGCTCCTAAAAAAAATAAAAAAAACAGTACAGTATTAGCACTGGTATTTGAAACACTGCTGACAACAGTGTAAATGTAAAAAATAAATAAAAATACTATAACCAACTTTAATATATAACTTCTGGTTCAATATGTTTGTTGGAGGTGAACATCTTTCTACTTAAAGTGGTTGATGTGCTCCTGCAGCTGTACTGACCTCTAGTGGCCAAGCTGAGAAATGCATGACAGGGACAGCACAGCACTAAAACAACTAGTATCATCTTTTGAGGGTATCGCTTCCTGTTATCGGGCCCTCTTTTTGCAGGTTTCAATACAGGAACAGAGCATGACTGAAAATACACGGAATGGGAGTGTTTGATACTAAGAAGATAGATTTGGGGTGGAGTATCACTTTAAGAGTTTGAAAACAAACACTCAAGGCAAAATAAGACGCTCCTCCTGTCTTGTCACTTTAGTGGAAGCCATCAAATACTAGCAGGGTTGGTAAATATTAGCATTTGGGATCCGCTTTAAATGCTAATATTTCAAAGGGCTGTTAAAAGCAGAAAAGAACACCGACCTTGACAGCTTTAGCCGTCTCCAGGGACTGCTCCGGAGGTATCCCCACCTCTCGTTCCCTCAGCAGCTGTTGGGTGAAGTACGTGATGTCCCGGCCAGCGATGGGGATGTGCTTAATGCAGCTTCCGATGACGTAGCCCTCAGCCTGGAATACGAATGCCGGTTTAGGGTTGAGAACGAGAAGGGAGCGAAAAGGTAACCCTCCCAAAAAAAGCGACACTTACCACTGGGATGACGTGTGTGACTCCGTCTCCGCTGTCGATCACAGTCCCCGTCAGCGTCCGTTCTCCCACCTGTCTGGATGTCCAGGAGGCAGCCAGCGCCAGGACAGCCTGATGCAGAAAATACAATTTTATTTTTTAAAAACGTGTACCAATAATACGGTCCTAAACAGCAACAGTTGGATAATCAAGGATTCAAAGTCTTAAAATGGCTACAGCCTAAAACTCGTACTCTGTTACTTTGAAGCTGTATAATTTAACAATGTGGAAACAACTATGCAGTATTTGTGCTCTAGATTTTAGAAATACTCAATGACGATACCGTGTAGGACTCAAATAAAAGGAAGTTGCATTTCCTCATTGAACCTCTCACTCAAATAGTCAAATCTAATTCTATTTATAGCCCTGGTTTCGAATGGGTTTCATGAAGTTGTGAGTGCTGTGGAATTGTAGTTTTAGCCATTTTGTTCAGGCAGCCAAAGTGATTTGTTGACATTTCCAGCACCCAAAAAAGGCTGTTCTACTGGCCAACATGTCTTGTAGACTTGGAAAGGTTTTGTTACTTTGGAAACTCACCTGAACGGCGATGTAGAGACCCGGGACGTTGAACGACTCGAACATGATCTCTGCTGTATACTCTCTGTTTTCTGGTGTGTTGAGGGGAGGCTCTGTCTGAAGAGCGAGAGAGACACAGAAAACTGATGTGAACAGAGCGACAACCTTAAGCCTCCACTCTACATTTTACTTTCTATCTCCGCGTGATCTCTTCTGATTTCCAGGCGAGGCAGACTTCATCTTGAACGAGCCTATCGTCTAGATTTGATATCACTGATGAAAGGTTGGCGTTGATATGCTGTATTACCTTTTTTTCATACATAAATATCATCGATAAAATTGAAAAAGTCATACTGAAGGCCTTCAACTTGAAGCCAAACCTTTATGGGACACCTCTGGGCACATGTAATAGAGTTTAATACATGTTACAATCTCCACTGATACAGCAGGATCTGGCTTACATGAGACAGTTTATCAAAGACCGCCTGGTCCTCGTCTGTCTCGATGCCACTCGATGTGCATTTCAGGTTGTGACTCTTAGTAATCTGCACACATCTGGGCCTTACCAAAAGAAAGTAATGGTCTTCAGGTTCTGCCCGCAGATACTTGAAGATGATCTGCTCCATAAATCTCTCCATCAGGTCCCAGTCCTCCACTATCCCGTGACGGATGGGCCACTGGAATTAAAGAGTAGAAACAAATGTCAGTCTCTTCTTAAATCACACAAAAGAAGATCCCGACTGACTCAGCTCAACTCCGTCTACCTTTGTCGCATACGATGGCTTGTCGATGGCTTCATCCCCGATGAAGAAGTCCAGATCATCAACACCCTTCATCATCCTGCGCTGGGCCTGGTCTCCGACCTTGGCCGACTCCTTGATTGCGATACCTGTAGGCGATCAGAAGAATTGTATAATGTTAAAGAGTTAGGCTGGAATTGTTGTTGTGCTATAGTTGTCTTATTGTCTCATGAAAAACAGCGAAGCATTTGTTCATCTACCAATACTTTCTGACTTCCCTTCCCTGTCTGTGACATTGGTTCCTCTTTAAGATGTCAATCCTTTTTTAAGCCCAGTAATTTCCTTTAACAGCTAAGCACTGCTGTTTTTAGGCTCTCTCAAACAGGAATAAATAACGCACGTGGGGACTATTTTCAGCTGTGGATTAATACGCAGTATATTGTGTCCAAGTGTCTTTATTTACAGTGATTCCCACAATACACAACAAAAAATGTTTTATCCATCCAGAAGAGCCAGTCAGAAACCAGTCATATCTTTTTAAGAAGAAATATCTTCTTTTTTTAAATTAAATATCATGGTAAGTTGTCGAGCTGGTTTCTATCTGCCCCAATGATCTCACCGGACTGCGTGTTAAAGGAAGTAGACCTGAAACTGCCTGGGGGAAATCACAAAGGATGTTTCCTCATTTAATACAGCTCACAATGTCAAAATGTTAAAGAAAACAACAGCACCGTATCACATAGTTACACATATTATATGTTTGGGGTGTTTTCCCATTTACTTACATGAAGGTATGATGAACTGTGGTTCTGTATTTCCTGCATAACCAAGCTTTGTGTACCTAAAAAAGGACCAAAACGAGGATAAATGTTTAGTTACAGTGGTTTTATTTTTGTTAAACTGCTTGCTGGAAACTACAGACAACTAATAGTCACACATATTAATCAACCACCAGCCAAAATAACCCTGATAAAAAGCCTTCTGCTATGGAGATTGTCCAGGAAGTAGCTCCAGTCGCTCGCAGCAACTAACTCCAACAATAAAGCAGCAGTGGGAGATTAAAAAGCACACAAAAACACATCTCTACTCATCACAGCGACGACCCAGAACAACAAGCAAGCGGAGGAGCTGCAGCTGAGTAACGTTAGCAGCTCTCCGGCTCAGCTCTCCGACGGGGCGTTAGCTGCAAGTTTTGACAGCCGTGCAATGAAAAGGCAGGCTAACGCTACCTAGCCCCCCGGTTCTCGGTACTCACCCTGTGCCACAGTCGACAACACAAGCCGGCAGCCGACCAGCCATGCTCGCTCTCCTTTGGTCTACCTGCAGGTGAAATAGAGCAGACGGCCCGGTGTGAAGGGATTTGTTTGCGGTGGTTGGTTTAAGGCAGCAGCTCTCAATGAAAAGCAGTCACGGCCGATTTTGGGAACGCTTCCGGGTTCGCTCGATTATCTTCTAGTGCAGAGTCAGCACCTTCATCGCGACGATGCTGCCCCCTCCAGTGGACGGAGACTGCTACTGCAGTTATGTTTAGTAGTGTTTTTTTAGAGTTAGAAACTATGGAAGCTTATTGTATTCACTTAAAAAAAATTATTTAAGTAATTTGTTTTTTTTTTAATATTTTTTTCTGTTTTTTCAACTATTTTTTCCCCCTGTTTTTCTGAGTGATTTATTTCTGTTTTTCGGAGTAATTTTTTTTTCCTGTTTTTCTGAATAATTCTTTTCCTGTTTTTCTGAGTAATTCTTTTCCTGTTTAGGGAGTAATTTGTTTCTGTTTTTTTGAGTATTTTTTTCAGTTTTTCGGAGTATTTTTTTTTCCAGTTTTTCTGAATAATTGTTTTCCTGTTTTACGGAGTAATTTTTTTCTGTTTTTCTGAGTAATTTTTTCTGTTTTTCTGAGTAATTTTTTCTGTTTTTCTGGGTCATTTTTTTCTGTTTTGCGGAGTAATTCTTTTTGTTTTTCTGAGTAATTTTTTTCCTGAATCATCGAGATACTTCGATCTCCCGCGAAAACCTCCAACCTGCCCGCACATTCATGTCCCATCTATCTACCTCAGGTGTCTGCGTAGAG